TAGTCGGCGGGTACAGAGAGCAGCTGTCTCCGGTACCCGGCCGGACTAACAGGAAGTGCACACAGTGTGTGCACTTCCTGTTAGTCCGGCCGGGTACAGGAGACAGCTGCTCCCTGTACCCGCCGACTATACAGGGCTCGGCCACGCTACAGTGAGGGAGCTGACAGGAGGGAGCGCTGAGCGCTGCCCTCCTGTCAGCCCCTCTCCTCAGGCTGCGCCCGGGTGGTGCGGTCCGCCCTCATGGACGCACCGCCCGGGCAAAGCTGCAGCCGCCTGAGGCTCTCTACAGAGCGCTCGGGCGGCTGCAGCATGGGGGGGGGCGGGGGCTGGCCATGGCACCCCCCACCCGGCTGGCACCCGGGGCGGACCGCCCCCCCCTTAGTACGCCACTGTATATACACACAGTATCTCACAAAAGTGAGTACACCCCTCACATTTTTGTAAATAATTTATTATATCGTTTCATTTGACAACAGTGAAGAAATTACACTCTGTAACTTACAATGGAAAGTAGTACGTGTACAGCCTGTATAACAGTGTAAATTTGCTGTCCCCTCAAAATAACTCAACACACAGCCATTAATGTCTAAACCATTGGCAAGAAAAGTGAGTACAGCCCTAAGTGGAAATGTCCAAATTTGGCCCAATTAGCCATTTCCCCTCCCCGGTGTCATGTGACTTGTTAGTGTTACAAGGTCTCATGTGTGAATGGGGAGCAGGTGTGTTAAATTTGGTGTTATCTCTTTCACACTCTCTCATACTGGTCACTGGAAGTTCAACATGGCACCTCATGGCAAAGAACTATCTGAGGATCTGAAAAAAAGAATTGTTGCTCTACATAAAGATGGCCTAGACCAGTGATGGCTAACCTATCACACGCACCCTGTCTGTGGCCACGCGGCCATAAGTCGAAGCTCTGCATCAATGCAGAGTAGACACCTGCCTGCCGAAAACGGCAGGCGCCTACTCTGCTTCCGTATCAGGAGGACAAGGGGAGGGATCTGAGAAGCAGCTCTCCTGTCCTACCATGAGCAACCTGTGTGGAGCGTTGCCGCACGTTACCATGGCAACGCTCTACACA